ACCAAACCCAGTCAAGTGGTGTGAGAACCTCCATGCTGTCACAGTGAAAAAACCCACAGATAATGCCTGTTTGAATTCACAGCTAAATGCAGAACATCTCTGTGTTTGCAGATGCACAATCTGTAGACACAAACTGATGTAACACCACTGATTAGAGTGGTACTGTAACAAACTCACTGCCCCCATTTGACTTTATTGGAACTCAATGAAAAGAGCATTAGGTCAAGATTTCTAGCTCTTAGTGGAGATGCAATGAATGAAAGGGAGAGCTTTAGATGTTATTTAGCAGCACTTAATCACCACAGGAATCAATGGTATATGGAAAAATTGAAAAGGTCTCTAAAAAGTATGGAAGAGTGAATCCTAAAGTCTGTAACACAGCAGTGGCATAGGCCTAGAGTTCACTGTACTTTCTTTGCTCAACTTAATGGAAACTGCTTGTCCTTATTATACTTTGTCTAAGATTTTCATAAATGTTACAGAATATAATTTAAATTTTTTCCAAAACCATCCATAAATTTGACAAGAAAGTTTGCCTGAAACAAACCTCAGTGCATTTTCCCTAGAGAATCCAAAACCTAAACCTAAATAGTCCTTTTTAAGTGAAAAAAACACAGTCTCATATGTCTAAAAAACACAGCAAGGTGAATTCAAGAGTATAAAAATAATCATCCTATAAACAGAGACCTTAATGTTTCCATTTGACAAATTCAAGTATGTCTCAGACTCCTAACATTCATTTAGAAATACATGTTCAAAAATTGTTGTTACAAAAATCATCATTTGGTCTTGAGGACTATCTCTAAGGTAGTTAAATTACTTTATTTTAGATTTATGTTATTATGTTTTGCAGTACATAAGCTGGGCAACCAACTGTATGCAAATATTTATTCTCCCTTTTTTTTTTTCTGAAAAGGCATTTCCTAAAGATTTGTTATATTTTTGACATTAAAATATATCCCTGCTTTATACACTCCTTGCTGCTTTTAAAAACTGGCACTGTCACAGTTATTAAACCACGAGTTTATAAAAATTAACTGTAACATTAGAAGCAGCAAAAGAAGATAGATAGACAAAGCTAAAATCATGTAGTTACAACTCATTTCTTATATTGTACCTGTTTTTAGTAGAGATTTCCTTCTGTCACAAGAATATCTGAACAGACAATGGAGTATTTCACATGCAACTTTATGGTAATGAGCGGCTGCAAGAAACATTTTGATACTTTCATAGGTGGAGGCTACAAGTGCTTCTACTAATTCTTTTTTTTTTTTTTTTTCCCAAACTGAGAGAGAAAATAACACAGTGTTGTCAGTATGCAAAGTTTCTGTTTCACCAGGACTGATCCTTTCTATCTGTGTCTGATTTACAGATAGACAACACTGGATAATGCTGTCATGCTCATCTGTGGCTTCAGTAGGAAGTGGTGTTCGTCTACAGTGTCAAGAGGTCCATTTTTAGAAGGTATACTGGAATTACTTCTCTGTTGAGATCCATGACAATTTCATAGTCCATCATAAGCCACTGAGAGGCATTCCTGTATTAGCTGTAGTCAGCCCTGTGATAATTGCTGCTGTCTTTATCAACCTGTTCAAGTTATTTCTCTTTTTTAGCTTTCCTACCCTGATGGTGGACAGTGACACTGCAAATACATGTCTGCATGAAGTGGGCTTATATTTTGATTGTTGATCAATTAGAAATTCTGCAATTCAAACTCAGGCCATGACCATTCTGTCTATCACTCACTATACCTGCACTAATTCAGTGTACCTGGAAACAGTGTCCCATACTGCCAGTAATTCACCTATGATAACATGAGTTGTTCATGAACATCTAGTTTTGAATTACCGGGTATAATAGTTGCACAATCTCTGATTGTACCTGTTCCACATTACTCAATGGATAGCTTGAGGTCATGATGACTTAAATATATGTACAAGGACATGGCTGAAGAGTCCTCCTCTCTTGAAAAAAACCAAACAACAGACTATTTTTGCCTCAAGGCCTGCTTACTTTAATTCAATATGTACACTAAAGTACATTAGATTTCAACCAGAGTTAAAGTTTCCCCTAAAATTGTTACCAGTTTTACTTAAGTCAGATACAAGGTTTGGATCATACTTGATTTAACAGAGTATTTTTCTACCTTCATCTAAGTCTTGCACCAATAAAATCTACTATGGACTTGTTTTTCTTTCTGTGTGGTCAGAAACACTGTGGACAGGTGGATCTTGTTTGCTTTGGCCAGCATCAAGGTAGAAGGAAGAAATATTGACGTATGAAGAGCAGGCTTTTCCAGCTCAGAAAAGGATGGGGTTCATTAAGATGCCATCTGTAGTAGCTTTTGAGGTGGGGTCATTTACATGAATTACTTATAAATTAATTTGATTTTTCTTCTCTGGCACATCTGTCCCAGACTCAGTAAATATTCCAGTTCTTTCAGAAATTCAAATTCTGTCTCATAAGGAAAGCATAAGGACAGGATTCTATTTTATTTTTTTTCCTAAAGATGAGCTAACATTCTCTGTTTTCTAACTCACACCTAGCAGGTAGTAAAGTAGATAGGTGGTTAACCTTCTGTGAATTTAACAGAAACTGTTCCAGATAAACATGATTTGTTGCATCTGTCATTCATTACCTCTCTGCTTCTGTATCCTGAATGTTTCTTTAGTTTGTTTCTGTAGTCACTGAGGTGAAGATCTGGTTGGTTTTTGCAATCCCTCCAGGGAATCCTTACCCAAAAGCAGTGGCTGTGGTTCTTGTATATTAAAATGATGGAGCTATTCTGAAGTTGCTGCAACAATCCGCGTAACTTAATTCTCTGCTCATCTAAATTCTTGCTTTGTCATCAGAAATGGGAAAGGCATTAATAAATTCCTCAGAGGTCTATTGTATGTCACTCTTGGAACACTCTCAGGGAGAGGAAAGCTGTGCAGCACATCGAACTGCAGGTCTGCCATTCTTCACATTTAGTTTTAGTGTAATTTTCAAAGAATCCTGGACTTCTGCACCCCCAATTGATGAAATCCAAGAGTCCTCTTCTGATATCCTATTTAACTAGCAATATTAATTGTATCTTAGTATGTACCTGGCAAGTACTCAAAACTTCAGAAATGCCAGCAAGCAATATGTGAGAGATTTTTATGTTCAATTATCACAGTCTGGATAGGGACAAGGGAGCAGAACATGACATAAAATCTGCCCTTAAATTTAAAAAAAAAAAATTTATTTAAAAACTTGGTTATCTTCCCAGGGACCCAGTTTCATTAACATTAATGAACTCTCACTGATTCCACTGCTACAGACATTTTTGGAAGTTTGCATGAGATAGGAGAAAGATAAACATAGTAATAATAAACTTAATATCTAGAATTCCTGAAATACTCAGTTTTTAGTGTACCATCAACCTACAAACTGTTTCACAGAATCACAGAATATTCTGAGTTGGAAGGGACCCACAAGGATCATCAAGCCCAACTCTTGAGTGAATGGCCCATACAAGGATAGAACCTAAAACCTCGGTAGTTTTAACAACATGCTCTAAACTTCTGAGCTATTAAAGCTGCTCTTTGCCTACTGCTGACTTTAGTTTATTTGTTCCAAAAGTGTCACTGATGATTCTGTGAGGCATTTATTTCTAAAACGCCCTCAGATTTTTTTTTTGTCAATTGCTAAAGAGTGAAAAAAGATTTTAATAAATTGCTTTCACATGCTATTCCAGTAGCAGTTCCCCTTCATTGGTTTTGGTTTTTGTTTTCTTTTCCACTCGAACAATTCTAGGCTACGTAACTACAGTGTATTTTGCCAGAAGTGCAGCCAAGGGAGAGCTGGAGGTGAGCAGCAGGCACATGAGCAGGAGGAGCTGTGGCTCTAGCTCCATGACTGAGTGGGCAGCTCTGGCAGTGCCTGTGAGGTGAGAGGGCTGTGGGACGCAGCAGATCCCCCCAGATGGACTCCTTTCTTCCAGACCTACCTTCTTCAAGGCCTGAACTGTCTCAAGGAATCATCAAGCCTAGAACAGAAAGGTATCAGAGCCAGAGAACAAAAAAGTAGGGTCCAGGGGTTAGCTGACAGAGTTTTCGCATCAAAAACTGGTTTAGGATGCTCTTCAGTACCAGAGCTTACAAGTTAGGATCTATCTTTTGCCTTTATCAGGGAGGTTCCTTGAGCTTTGCAAGTGCAGAGGCCTGAGTGAGCAGCACTGAAGACAGACAGGGAAGGATGACCAGTGGGAGCACCCCCAGGGAGAAGCTTCCATCTGCTCTGCTGTGGAGATGCTTTACAAGGTGTGTGCCTGCCTGTACTGACCCCAGTGCAAACCTGTAGTTAACAGGATGACACTAAAGACCTTCACAAGCAGCCTGGTTAGTCTCGTTTGCCCTTCTCAAACTGTTGTCCATTGTGGACAACACAAGAGGCTCCTCAAGTGTACCAGACTGGCCTGGGAGTAGGGTCAGTTCCCACCATTAGCATGGCCATCTGCATCCTGAGATTCTGGACCCTGTACACACTACACAAGGAACAGTCACGTGGGATTAGGGTTGCCACAGGTCAGTCATAACCACGCTTGACCAAAACCTCTCATGTTTGATGGAAGACTAGTCTAGGTCAGCCCCACAAGTCAGGTGAGAAAAGGTTGAGGTGCTGAACAAGGCACCAGCAAGCACGACTTTGAATCTCTGACTGTTTTGACTGACTGCTCCCAAGTGGTACAGTCCTTCCCCTAAGTACAAGCTTAGCTGTTTTATTTCCAGGATGAAACAACTCCTGGAAAGAGACTCCAAAATTGCATGCTAAGAAGCCACAGTACACAGAAAAACAGAAATCATGTGCTTCCTTGGAGAAAATTTGTTCTGCAGTAAAATGACAAACCACATTTTCATACGTTTTGGTCTCAGTCTTCTTTATACTCTTATCCTAGCAATCTATATGATATCTTGGGGGAAATTAAATTTCTACTTAAAAGTTTCATGTGAGAGAGCACTCATGCTAAAAAATAATTGCATTGGCTCAAGCAGTGTTAAAAAGGTACATGCAACAGAGCGATCACTTTCCTTTCTCTTAAATAAACCAAACTGCTGCAACTGCTGAGCAGACGTGCAAGATTGCAGAAGAGGAATCATACAGGATAACTGCTATGTGTCATGAGGAAATTCCCCTCCTGCCTATGGTGATTGTGTAACACCTAAGGAGTCATGTTTTTGGGAGGTTCACAGAGGATGTGGCAGGTCCTTCTCATAAACTCTTCCAAAAAGTGTCGCTGTTATGAGTGGTTTCGATGTGCCATGTTTACTTTTCAAACGCCCATCACGTAGAACCTAATTGAAAAGAGAAAGAATGACACTAACAGTCCATTAACAGAGTAGCAATATCGCATAGTACAGAATAAACCTTAGATGTTGAATATTTTGATGCAACACTTCTAAACAATCATGAGAATGAAAGAAACCAGAATTCCCTCTGGTTTTGCCATGGCCTTCCCACCAAAGCCTTCCCACATTTCCTTGGACCAGGAGGTTTTTAAAACTTCCTCTGTCTTTGGAAAATAAGGATTATTTTCTCCACCTCACGAGGAAATGGAGAAGGTGAGCGTGAGAATAACTGATTTGTTAGGTTCTCATTATACTCATAGAAGGTAATGAAGATTATATACATATCTAGGACATATTTCAAATATTTTTTTATTTGTAGACCCCTAAACAATTTTCAGATGGAAGTAGAAAATTTCAAGCTACTGTCCAGCTTTTCTTAGTTACTTTTTACATATCAATTTGAAATCCCTGTTGTTCAGAGACTGTGACAACTGTCACAGTTGACAACTTTTTAAGAGCCTCTGTGACAAAAAATAAGCATGCATTTGTTAAGAAAATACAACATACCATTTTTAAGTCAGACTATGATCCTATCTTAGCATACCAATAAATTCTTTGATGTGTATATTTTTACAGAAGTCCCATTCAAAAAACAAATATGCAATGTGAACTATGCTTTTCAATTCCATACCTCGTAAAAAAAAAATCACCTTTTTTCCCCAAAAACTTTTCAGATGTCTTTCACCATCTTCATTGTATCTTCTAAGTTCCAAATAAAAAAATAAACACTATAAAGCCCTAAAAAATTGTTTTTAACTTTTTAACTGAGTAGGATCTCTGCTCTTACGCATTATAGTCCTAAGCAATTTTTCTTGTTTGGACAATTTCTCAGAATATCTGATTTCTTTTTCTCCTAAAACGGCCATCAGCAGAAACCTGTAGAAAATAATTCCTTGAAAGCTGTTGTTTATAGATTTGGGACCTGAAGTGGGAAGGTATATTTGCTAGAGAAGACACTAAAGAGATTCTTAACCTCAGCATTGAGGTTGATATGATTGATATGTTCTCATCAGTAAGGATTAATTCAATCCACCTATTTTAATGTGTCCCCTTGAGTTACAGCCCGCAAACCAGTGAAAGTGGTTCTTAGGTATGACTTTGCTGACAGGCCAGTTTTTAGCACCACAGCCTGGGAAACCTTGCATGGCACAGCTCCAGGGTGCCCCATTACCTCGAACTCCCCAGGAGCCAGCTGCACTCCGCTGTACAACACTTCTGGAAAGACGTAGTTGGTGCCAAATGTGCCGCTGAGGGAGAACATCTCAAACTTGGTCTGAGCCATCTCCACTGGCTGCCCACATGTGTCCAAGTCTGTGCTCTTGCACTTGAGCAGCGTGCATATCTGCAGGGAGGAGGATAAAGAAAGGCAAAACACCAATAAACTTTCAAAATCAGGAGTTCTCAATATGCAGTAGTGGACAAGTGGTTTGGGAAAAAAAACAATTACCTGCCAATGGTATTTTATGAGAGAACCATGAAGCCCATCAAATGCACCCAGGACATAAACTTCATTTTTCCTCTTGATTGACATCTGATAGATCAGATGACAGCAGAGGTCTCCTTGGCAAACAGTGTAATTTCCAGCTTTGTGCCTGAGTTCACTGAAAGTGAATTTATCCTTCCGGACAGATCCTGAAAAAGTGTCATTTTCTCCTGGAAATTTCTTGATACTTGTGGCATACAAACTCCAGTTGACGGCAGGAGGGTAAGTGGGGGAAAGACGGGGGTATGCACTCAGCTCTGCTAGCAGGAGACATCCCTCCTCAGTCCCAGTGTCATAATGGTAGGCGGCAGGTCCTTCTGGAGTGAACAGCCCACTGCCTGCCAAGGACAATCACCAGCCCTCTGTTAGCCAGCACCCCACAGCATGGCTTGCCAGGGGGACCAGTCGCAGCCCATGCCACACTGGTATTGTTTGTCAGTGACACTATTTTCAGTCAAAACCTTATGGAGAGTTTTGGAAGAATTTTAAAGCACAGAACTGCTAAAATATCCACTGTAGTGTTAAAACTTAGGTTCATGTTAATATAGATCAGGGCTCTAAGAGTGGCATATTTGACGAATAAGGAAATCATGGAGGTAGTTATGTTTAACCGGATGAAACACAGGGTTGTGGCTTAAACTCAATTCAGCCTATTTAGGGCAGGCAAAAATGGTCCTTTGTGGTTTTCACTTAGGTTTTAGAGAAGAGTTACAGATGAAGCTACAACAACATTTTCTCAGTTTACAGGAAAAAAAGGCAGTAAATATCTATTCAGAGCAAAACAAAACATATATATCTCTAATTCCTTAGAAGCCCCAAAATCTGTAAATATTTTATTCAATAGGAATCCTCCTTTTGGTTGTACATTATTAAGTTCTGATTGAAACATTTTTTCTCCATTTAACTGTTGATTGAATTTTAAACAAAAAATGATACTTCTAAACAAGAGAATGAAAATTTGAATGAAACTTTGTGCTGTTTTTAAAATAAAATTCCACTTTCAAATTATCAAAATTTAATGTCATGGGCTTTCTAATTTTTACTTTTCCAGTACATTCAGCATTTTAATGCCTGAAGGTGTTTATTACATTTAGTACTGTACCACAAAGATCGTTAGTCTGACTGAAACACTATTTTCCAGAGACTTCCTATGTCTAAAACATTTCTGCCTGCTTCTGAATCTGAGGACAATTTCTCTTTCCTGAATGTAACTCACCTGTCATTGCAAAGTTGATGTTGTGAGTATTTGCTGAAAGTAAATTGACACGCATGCCCATAGCCCAGGCAGAGTGAATCTCAACTGCAGTCAGAAATGGCAGGACATTCATCCAAGCCGTTGGGAAAAGCACAGTGTCCACCTGCATCTCGCTCACCAGGACCACTGCAGGCTCACGGAAAAGGATGTCAAAGCAAGTGAAAATGCCGAACTTCCCAAAGGGAGTCTCAAAGGTGACAGCTTCTGGCTCTTTGGGGTAATTAAACTGAGTTTCACCTCTAAACAGGTTATACTGCAGGTGAAAAAAATGGCATATTAGAAACCAAAAAAACCCCTCAAGATTATGAAAACCTATTTTGCATCTGAGAAAGGCTTTAAAGCAAAGCTGGGAGTTGAGGTACCTGAGCTGGCCTGCACAGCTGGTTTGAAACCATCCAGTTGATCATATCCACCTACAAAATGAGTTAGCTGTACCACATGGACCTCCTGGAAGCTAAGCCCAGCCAATATTAGATACTAAACTCTGCCAAGACTTCCCTTGCAAAAGCACTAACTTGGCTAAGAATGTATCAAGTATGAGCTAAAATTTATGGAGTATGGAAAACTCTGTCACTGTTTCTTTACCATTTACTATCATAAATGTAGCCCTTATGTATTTGGCAGCAGACAAGCTCTCTGCACCTGTAATGTGCCTGGCAATAATGTCTGATTGGTCAAGCACTTGCTTATTTTACTTCCTGGCCATAAGATCCTTGCATCAAATCATCCTGATTTGGTTGACAATTTATAATAATGTTAAAATATTGTAAAAACAAGCTGAAATTGGTGATAGGGAGATGAAAAATATATTGATAATAAATTACAGGATGATGCTGAAGCACCTCTTTACCTTGTGGTAACGAGCCACCAGTTTCCCCTCTGGGTCAAAGACAACATCCGTATTGTACTGGTAGCGACCGTCACTGGGGCAGTCGGGATCACTGGAGTTACACGGTTTCTTGTCCCCAATGTTTGCAACCACATAGATGGAGTTATTCCTGGCCATGCAGCTGAGTCGTTCCTGCACTGGTGCTGGACCAAACCTGAAGTATTTTCAGTGAAAGAAGAAAAAACTTCTAGAAGTTTAAGTGCATCCACAGAAGAAAGGCATTCAAAATATTTCATTGACTACACATCCCCATATGCAAAAGGAATAGATTAAACCATAGTTTCTGTTCATAGCATCATTTCAAATTGACAGTGTCTTTTACCTTTAAAAAAAATTGTGTCCCTGTGTTCTTCTTTCCTGTACCCTTAACAATGTTATTTTCTGTGTGAATAGAATTCTCAGCTAACATGCACAAGATATAGAGAGCTTCATACAACAAAGAGAAGAATAAACCATATACAGATATAAATTTAAAACAACTTAGAATTTTCAAGCACCTCTAAGCCTTGATTTCAAAAGACAATTTAGCCTTTTTTAATAATCTTTACTGTTTTAGGCAGCTGTCTGTAAGCCTTTAACAAAAAGCGGACACAGCACTTACAGAGCTGAGGACTCCAGAACTCTAGCTTTGTAAAGCCTCAGAAAAGAACATAAAAGCTTAAATTAACACGAACTCAGTCCTCTTGGTGTCCCCTGCTGACACAGATTCAGAGAAGCTCTGTGTAACACAGCACACTCTGCAAGTGGCAGGATTTCCAAAAGGCATTTCTTTCAGATCTATATAAAATGTTTTGCAATTTGGTGTAGAAATAACTCAGACATATGAGCTGAGGACTCCATTGCCTAGTCTGATCTATGCATCTGATGAGCTTATACTTACAGAGGATTTTCACAAGTGATCTGAATTGATAAAATTTTACATTTTTTAAAATAATTATTTTGCCTAAAATTTTCTCATTTTCATCCTTTTGCAAGTTTTAAAGTAAGACTGTCTCAATGATTTTTACTTGGCATATTCCCATTACCATTTAATTAAGACTTCTTTTTGATGTATCTTTTGTCTACAGTACTTGTGATTTTTAACAGATTAAAAAATTAGCAGTCCCTATGCATTTAGTGGGAGCTGCTCATGGCTCCATGAGTTACTAGTCTGAAACCACATAAATCAATGCAGAAGGAGTCACCTTGAGGGGTCAGTGCAGGGAATCCAGTTCACCACTGGAGCAGGGATATCCTCCAGGTACGGGTAGATGGTTTCTCTCGTGAATTTCCAGCCATAGATGCCATCTTCAGGAGTCACAATGATGTGGGCACCCTGTCACAACAGGCTCTGTTAAAACCTCACCCATCAACATATAAACAGGGGGGTCAGACGGAGCAGAAAACATCAATTAAAAACCCTCATGATACATCTAGTACCTGCTGGGCAGCTTCCTTTATGGCCCCTTCCAAGACATCCATGTTTTTGTTCATCAGGGCCAAAGCATCATCGGGAGAAACGGGCTTGTCAGTGGGATCTGGCAGGATGACTGCGTGCTCGTAGACGGCTGCAATGAAGGTGTCGGAGGCAAGAGCCTGAAGGACTGTGAGAGCGAATACCCCAGCATGCAGGAGAGGCTGGGAAGGGAGCATGGCTGGTGCCTTGCAGCTCCTGGATCAGGCATGGGGAATATAAAACAGATAGAAAGAGGAGGAATAAAGACTAATAAGTTTGCTTTCGAAATAATCTTCTGTTGAGCAACCTGAGAAGGTCCAGTATATTTCTGGCAATAATCAGGACATTTATTTATATTAAAAATCAAAGGAACATTTCTGGGAATGGAATCTTGTTTCCAATAAGAAATGTTTGAAATAAAAGGAGGACAAAAGGCTAACAGAGTTTGCCAGAAGCAATGCTAATCTACAAGGGGCTCCATTAGAAGGAGCACTTCCACATTCCATTTGCACATCCCTCTCCAGGCTCTTAAACCCATCTTGGCGTGAGCCCAGACTCCCTCGCTTAGGGAGCACTACTCCATAGAGCCTTACTGCACGTGGTGCCATCAGTTAAAGCTTCAGCCAGTGCTGAAGGCAGAACACCTGTGTGAAGTACAGCCATCATGTTTCAGAGTGCAGATGATTTACCAGCACTTATGAGACATGTGGTCTTGCCATACTTCTTGCTTTTGGCCAGTGGCTTACTATAGTTGTAGTGGGTGCCTTGAGAGTGTCCTCCTTGCTGGGCTCACACTGCAAACTGTCCCTTGAACTGTGCTGACCTCTATGCCTAGAGCAAACATGCTTGCTTGTTTTGTGAGAAAGAATTAACACAGATTTTCTTTCTTACTATTGTCCTTTCAAAAGGAAGTTTTTGCACCATAAGCAATTTGATATTACCTTAGAAAGCAGGTTTTGGGTTTTTTTTCTCATGGAAGGCAGTTTTTAGCACAGTATTTTGTAAATAGAATATTACTACCATAGTTTCAGGTTAGGTCTAGAAAAACCTTGGTTAGAACCCATGGTATATCTGTGAGGGTGAAAGAACAAAACCTGGCTCATCCTTTACCACTTAGCAGGAAACCAAAGAAAATATTCTTCACCCTGAAAAAATCTTCCTCTTCACTATGTTGTGTCACACAAAAGACTGATTTTTCCTCCATCAGCACCAAGGCTTCCTCAGGAGAAACTAACACTTCAGTAATTCTGTGATTCGAAGACTATGCTGTGCTCACAGATAGCTTTGACATCGGTTTGCAGGTGACAGGCCCCTAGAGCAGACAGCACCAAAAACACGGCAGAGGCACAAGCTTTAGGAAGCCCAATGTCTGGAGCCTAGACGTCACCCAAGAGGAGTCTGTGAGCAAACAAAGCCTGGGCTTTAAAGGAGGAAGTCTTGCATGAAACCTGGGAATTCCCCAGGGTGGCAGAATTCCCAACAGACATTGGGAAATGCAATCACCCTGCCCGAAAACTCTCACAATATCAAAGGCAAGAGAGTCACCAGCATTGAGCAATTCTGCCTTACACCCCCGGCAGGGAAGTCACTGAGAAGTCACCACTGTGCTGCAGCTGAAGAAACATATCACTTGACAGATTTACAGAAAGTTCAGAGATAGCATTGCTGCAGTAACACAGCTCAAGGCAAGCCTGAGTCACAACAAGAAAACAAGTTCAGGAAATCTTGGCAGAGACGAGCACTGACACATTCCTGCCCAAACCTGGCAGTGAGGGGTGCAGGCATGGTTGCAGGAGGCAGGTGGCCAGCCCCCAGCCTGGGCACTACCTGTGCCACCCCAGCTCAGCACAGCACCGACTCAGAGTTTCAGGGTCTTTGGGGGCTGCTGCACATCTCAGGATGGTGCCAGGAAGACTGATTGTTTGAGAATACACATTAGCACACCCTCTACTCAGTAACCAAGCTCTGAAGATCTCTGGTGCCCAAAGGTCTCTGTTTGAAGAGCATCACGAATAGGAGTCACAATTTCTAAATTTTACCTACTGCAATCTGCTTTCTTATGACCACTTTCTTAGGATCACTCCAGAAGAAATCTTGAAGATTAAGCTGCATGTGCACAAAAATCCCTTGTGTTTGGTTACCCAAGTTTCTTACCTTCTTTGGTTCTGACTCAGTTGTCAGGTACCAAAACGGTTTTTGGCTGCACTGCCCTCGAAGAAGTGTTTATTGTCATCTGTGGCTACACACAGCCTTGTCTTTATACAGAGCAAGTCGGTATGTGGGTAATGGGTGGACTTGCATGAGATTACTTTCTGTATGCTTGACTCATTTCACGCAATAACACATTTCACAATAAGTGTTATGCAATCTTTGTAGCAAAAAGAACTTAGTGTCATGATGGCTTATGCCAGGAAAATTTGTACAAATATACCTCAACGTACAAATATACCTTAACCAAAAAACAATGGCCTGGAACCAAATCCAGGATTTAAGATACTCACCAGGTTCAGGGTTAGGCTACATACTACAAGCATACGCATTCCCTTGTCCAGAGGACTGGCAACAGCAATGAACAAACCTGAAGAAGCTGCCTCTCAGTTCTGAGACTGGCCACACAACTTCTGCTAAGACCTTCCTGGGTGCTTCCCTTAAATCCAGGTCCTTTCCCTGGGAGAAAGTTGTGGTATCACACACTAGGTTCCCAGGACACAAGTACAGTATCTGCACTGAATTTGTACCCACAGGAAGAGAACCACACTGGATAGTCCCTTGGTGTACTGTGATCAGTCTGTGGTCAGACAGTAACTGACTCCAACAGTGAACCAGGTCTTAAGACAGTGTGGCTCTAGCAGCAATGATGCTGAGCTTTCATGAGTCAGAGAACATTGTCTGTGGCTTTTGATAAACATGTCATTATGTTTATGAGACATGAGACTATGTTATGTCACATGTGAGTTATTTATTTACATTTGAAAACAAAAAAGGTCATATGGTGCACAGCAGTGGTAATTAGTGCTGGAGTTTGGAGAGTATTTGCACTCCCACTGTCTCATCAGCTCCATAACAGAAATACATGGGATTGAGGACTTTGAGAGCACCAGGAATGGTGCCAGTGTGAAAAAAAAGAAAGGAGAAATAAGACTAACAGAGGTCTCTGACCACTCTTAAGGACACAGCCACAAATCATGCACGTTTATAAACTGATGTGCTGAAAGAAGGTCACTAGGGTCCAGCAGCAGCAACAAAACACAGGTCACTGGGGAAGAAAAGGAACCAAAGATGTGAACAGTGCCTTCTCACCAGGAGTAGTTCGCCTGAAGTAGAATTCTAAATCCCCTAATCCCTAGAGCAAATTTATCTGCAGGGCAGCACCACCCAGCATTAACAGGAAGGAGCAAAGGACAAGGCGTATTTCACGTATGTTGGTGTTATAAGACTAGAAGGACATAGAGAAGATGGGAGGGAGGAGCTGCTATGTAATACTAGGTAACTCAGTGACTTTTTTATGGGTTGCAAACAGTTCCATCACTGAATAGCATCCAGTGCAGACAGGAGGTGTTGTCAAGCTGTTTTTCAGAACTGATAACCTGAATAATGTGAGGTTTTGATTCCAAGTTTTGGTTCAACAGAGATTTCCAAGAAATGATGATTCACGTCATGTTCTGACCAAGAAGTGGTGGCAGGTTTTGTTGTAGTAGAGGATGCTGTATCTCATTTGGATGTAAAAAGTGTACAGCTTCAATCATGTCTGTTGGCTGCGGGTCTTGTTTCAGATGATCATTTTCATACCACCGTCCAAAAAGTGTCACAGTAACAACTGGTTTTGTCGGTTTTGTCTTATTTATCAAGCGCCCATCATTCAGTACCTGATTGAAAAAGGTAAGAGAAGGATGTCATTAGAGGAGTACCTATATGAACACACCAAGAGTTCAGAAAAATGTGACAAACAGGAAGAAGGAACATCAGACCACATCTCTTACTGAAACTAGTGATTTCATTATTAGGTATTTAATAGATGAATTATTCACTATGAGCAAGTTCGCTTTGGCTGGAATGACACAGTTAATTCCATGACTATCCTGCAGAGGACCTAGCATGACACAGCTCCAGGGTGCCTCATTACCTCGAACTCCCCAGGAGCCAGCTGCACTCCGCTGTACAACACTTCTGGAAAGACGTAGTTGGTGCCAAATGTGCCGCTGAGGGAGAACATCTCAAACTTGGTCTGAGCTGTCTCCACTGGCTGCCCACATGTGTCCAGGTCTGTGCTCTTGCACTTGAGCAGTGTGCATACCTGCGGGGAGGAGAAGACAACAACGTATTTAGCAAGACAGAAACACTCTGATAGGAAAGCCTTGTGTCATCAAAGCCAGAGTGTAAAAGCAGATGAGAGTCACAGGACCTTTTTCATAATCTTCGGGCAACTCCTTTTCAGCTGTAATTTATTTTTTCACCCCTTGATCTGACTGGGAGGTTTCCAGACCTGCATTGCCTTAGTAGTTACAAATAGACTGTCTCTGACGTAAGTGCTGCCACAGCACCTTATTTCACTTCTGAAGCCCAGTCTTGTCACTACCACTAATTCTTCCTATTGCCAGTTCTCTTATTTGAAGGTTCCTTTCCCATGTGCAAGATAAGTTTGTGAATGGAAATTTTAGGCAAATGAAACAAAGTCCTTCTCACGGGTACACTGTGCAAGTGTACACCCAGGTCTACCTACTAGTATTTGTACGTGTTGGTAATGACACTTCATTAGATGGCCTGGTAGTCCATGGGAAATCTGAATTTGATATTCCCTATCAAAATACTGGTGAATATAGGCCAAGGTGGTGAAGTTAGCATCTTCTGTTAGAGTTTAGTGTTAGTAATTGTAGCACATAGAGGAAAGTAGGAATTAGTGTTTCCCTATTGTCCTTAACTATCCAGCTGATAAATATTTACAGTCTTCAAGAGGAAATATGAAATAGGGCACTAGCACTCCTATTATTCAGGAGTGATTTGAAGGATGTTGGCTGGTTTTGCTAATAGGTGATGGAGCTTTTCTATTCCTGTCAGATACTGGGGGACAGAAGCATATTTTCAAAAATCAGAAGTATTATTCTTCAACTAATATAGTTTTGTGTTGAAATGCAAATAAGCAAAGAAATAAAGAATATGTTCTGAAGAAATGAAAAAAATACTGAGAGAAAAAGGAAGAATAGAAATTCTTGTCTTTTCTAGAACTTTCAGTACTGGTAGAGACTATCTGGCAGCTTCCACAACCAGTGAAATAAATTTTACAACCAAGCTCACCAAGAACTGAATTTATTCAGACTACCTTCATAAATGCATTAGATGAGCTGTTTTCTGGTTAAGATCTCCTCTCACATCCTGGAGTCTGCACCAGCTGATATGCAGAGGCTGTGTTGACAGACAGAAGTAACTAAAAAAAGAGTATAGTCTGCTGCCACAATAATTTAATTATGAAGGCAAAGAATGTTTTCAAATACGGCTTTAAGCAAATTCAACCAGGATGTAACTCACTCTCTTCCTAAACATTTGATTAAAAGAGAGGAAGATAGGATATTTCCAGTAAAAGTCATATGCCATTTCAGTAAACTTCATTGCTATGATTTGGGCAATGACAAAAAATTAACATTTCTGTGACTTTAAATTATCTCATAAAGATATTTATGATCAACTGATTTTTAACAGCAACTCTTTGATGAAGATACAGTGAGGCCCCATCTGGAGTTCTGTGTCCTGTTCTGGGCTCCTCAGTACAAGAAAGACAAGGAAGTACTTGAGAGGGTCCAGTGGAGGGCCACAAAGATGATTAGGGGTCTGGACCATCTCATAAGGAGAAACTGCAGGAGCTGGGTTTGTTTAGTCTAGAAAAGACTGAGAGGGGACTTCATCAGTGCGTATAAATATCTCAAAGGCAAGTGCCAAGAGGATGGTGCCAGAATTTCTTCAGTGGTGCTCAGTAAAAGGATAAGGAGCAACGGCCATAAACCAAAACACAAGAAGTTTCACCTCAACATGAGGAAGAAATTCCTCACATTCAGGGTGGCAGAGCACTGGAACAGGCTGCCCAGGGAGGTTGTGGATTATCCCTCTCTGGAGACATTCAAAACCCACCCAGATGCATTCCTGTGTAACCTGCTCTAGGTGACTCTGCCTTGGCAGGGTGTTGGACTATATGATCTCCAGAGGTCCCTATCAACCCTAACTATTCTGTGATTCTGTGATGCAGTGGAGATTCAGAATAATTACTGCAGATAGTCACAGAAGAGGACATAAATTTAGCCAGTACTGCACACTCAAAAAAATTGTGAGTGTGCTCTGGGAATGTAAAAGAGGCTCAGAGACCTCTCCATTGCCTTTGCTGGTTTTAAAGGTAAGTAGGCTTGGATGTTTTAGCAACTCCTTTCCATTGCTATCAAAAACAACACCAGGACTCCAGCATACAAGAGAATCCTTGTCTTTTTCTGCCACAGAGTTGAAAGTTTCTCCTTGTAAAAAACCTTCCTAAAGCAAGTAACCTCCTCCAAAGAATTACCTGCAGATAGTACTGTCCTTCAACAACATGAAGCCCATCAAAAGCACCCAGCACATAAACTTCATCATCTCGTTTCCTTGCCATCTTGTAGCTCAAGTGACAGCAGAGGTCTTTTTGGCAAACAGTGAGATTTCCCCCAGGCTTAGTGAGTTCAGTGAAAGTGAACTGGTCATGAAAGATGATTCCTGTGAAATCATGGTCATTTTGTGAGAATCTTTTGACACTCAAAGCATATGAGCTCCAGCTGACAGCAGGTGGGGAGGCAGGAGAAAGACGAGGGTGTGCATCTAGTTCAGCAATGAGCAGGTGACCTTCTTCAGTTTTCATATTGTAGAAGTATGTCCTGGCTCCATCTGGTGCATAAATACCACTTCCTGAGGAGAGCACAACAGTCAGTCCAAGAATTAAAAAAATCATATTGTTCTTTTAAGTGATGAGCTACTTCTAGCTCATCAACTATTCCATAAAGATTATAGAGATTTTAGTCTCCCTAAAGGTGACCATTAACAACTCAGTACATAGAGCTTGTGCTTTGGCAAAGAATAGCATTTATTCCCCTGGATGAGGTCTGCTCAGTGTAGCCAAACACAGAGGATGTTTGTTCTGTTCTGTTCTGATTGTATTTATAGCCTCCTCAGTTCTCTTTTCTACTGTATGCAATTAAGTGACTTGGTAATTCCTTTATTCTCAGCTAATTGAAGTGACAGGGCCACCCATGATTGAGACAATCCAATACACAACACAGTCAAGTACCACAGGCCAGGCCTGGTGAACACAGAAAGAGAGAGCAGTTGTCCAGCCCCCTTTAAACTGGCTGAGAACTCCTCCCAGTGTGGGGAATTCATATTTGACCAGTACTAAGCAACCAAGGGAAATCAAAGTAGATCTCCCATACCCATCACTACCAAAGAGCTGCATAAAACAGACAACATGTGGAAGCCTGTCAGGCATGTCAAATGAGAAGCCCAAATACTTTGGTTTCACAGCTCAGTGAAGATAGATACTGGTGTAACTGAAATACACTGTCCCATAAACCAAGGTCTAAAAAATCAATCCTACGTTGTAAAGTGAAAATGCAGACTTCTTAGCATTGTTACTGCAGCAGGTCTGAAAATTTGTTTTTAAAGCTTTTCCATAACCATGTTAAGTATAGCTACAAATAAGTCTTCAATTTGGTCAGAATAAACGTAGCCATGTATGAGGTTTACAAGTATATTTACAGTTTGGCATTCAATCACAGAAGTGGAGAAAAAAAGAGCTTAAGTGTCAAA